AGCCTAAAAATGACTTAAAAAAAGAAAAAAAAAAAAAAAAAGGTCCTCTAAAAATTTTTTGGGCCCCTAAATTTGCGGGGCCCGGGCCTATAGTCCCCCCTAGCCCCCCCTTGATGCGGCACTGGCCCGGATGATTTCATTTTATATTTCATGATTTCAGCTTATATTTATAGCAATAATATTAGTTTTGTTTTTAAAATAAAATAAAAATAAGTTAGATTTTTATTGTGTTACTTATGGATCATGTTATTTTTATTCAGTTATATCTTTTATAAAAGGTTATATAAAAAGACATTCTTCTTCATAAAAATTAATTGCAAAAGGAAAAACCCAAATAAAATATAATGTTTATAACTTGATTTTAAGAACTTCTTTGTATTGATGTCATTTATTAACAACAAAAGCAAAAAACAACATTAATCAGATCCAACCCTCGGAATTAAGAAAAATGAAGTTGGCAATTTATTTCCGACCTCAATTTTCCTAATTTTAAGGGTTGGGTCTGAAACTGTTAGAAGTCAGCATCAGGTTGGCAAAAAAAAATTGACACAAAGGGGTTTCCATAAAATTCAGAAACGAGGTCTGCAACTTTTTGCCAAACTCTAACACTTTTAGGTCGGCATGGCCAAATGCTGACCCTAATTCTGAGGGCTGCAGACCAATATTTAAAAAAAAAAATCAAAGAGCTGAAACTTACCTTTGAGAGAAAAAAATGGCATTAAAATTAAAGTCAGTTAGTTAATCTAAGTTACACAAAGCCACAGCCTTGTTAAACTCATCATCAGCTGAGTATACGCATCTATACCCAACTCATATTTCGGCCACTTTTGTGTGGCATTTACAGTAAATGATGAGTTGTAGCAACTATGATGACTGAAAACTGTCTAGTAGTTGTTTAAATTTATCAAGTGATGTTGCTTTGATGATATTATCTGGCAAAGCATTCCAGTCATTGACTACACGGTTGTTAAAAAACTTATGTCTGATTTCGCAGTTCCTGACAATCTCACTATGAAATCTGATTCGATGTTGAGCTCTAGCAAATAACTAGTTGCTGCTAGGCAACTAGTTATTTGCTTATATCTTTATAAATAGTTTGTTTTGAAAGTTTAATTAACATGAAACTTATTTTTTAAAGATCATTTAAGATATGAACACAACTTGGCTTGGGGATCACTTTAAACACAATTGATAACATCATACTAAAATAGCCATCTATAGGGACTTCAATCTCAACATTCGCTGAAGTTTAAGTTTGTCATTCATAGGTATCTACGCATGAAGAATATTGTTACGGCCTAAATACCTTGCAACATTGATACATCAAAACAATTACTATACTTTTTAGATAAAATCTTTCAACATAAAATTGCATTCACTTCTCCAATGACTCTTACACAAGTCAAAGAACCAATATCTTATCTTACACTTTAATTTCTTAGCTTACACTTTAATTTCTTATCTTACACTTTTAATTTCTTACATATCTTAAATCTTGACCTTAAAAAAATCTTACACAATAAGTCAAAGAACAAACTCATAAAATGGGACACATACTAGATGTAGTAATTAATAAGCCAGATGAAATATCAGTAATTATGCTAACTGTGACAGAGAGATTTGAGTGATCGTTTTCTTATTGATTTTAAAGTAGAACAAAAAATAGAAAAAAAACTTATCCATACTATCGCATGCAGGAATTTAAAAACAGTGGATGCACAGTCCTTTAACAATGAAATATCAAGAAATAAACGAGACATATCATCAGCTGAAAAGATGATAGACAAAATAACCATATATAACTAAGTAATGAAAGAAACTGCAGAAACATGCCCTTTTGAAAACTAAGAGTAAAAATAGTCAAAACAGCTTCTTGGTTTGATGTAGAATATATTCAATTCAGGCAAAATGAAGAAAAGCTGAAAAATTGATTAAGAGAACAAAAAATAAAAGTGACAAAAAAAAATATAGACACCTCAAAAAAAAACAATAATTGCTTATATAAAAAATAAAATATTTCTCTAACCTATTAAATATTTTTTTTTAACTATCTTTGCTTCCAACAAGGCTGCAAGCAAACACTAATTAGTGTTGGAAGTTACTGGAAGAGAAAAGATGAAGATTGTAGGGCAAGATAACGATTGACAGATGACTTAAAAGATTGCAAATTATATGAATCAGGAAAGCAAGATGAAGGAAGCGAATTCCAAAGAACTGATGTTCGAGGAAAAAAACTAGACGAATAAGAGTTTTTGGAGCACTTAGGAACAGTAACAGAAAATCTTATGGTGTAGCTGGTAACGTCTTTAAGATTATTGAGTCCTTTCTTTCCAATCGTAGTATAAAAGTTGTCCTCGATGGACAACACTCTTCTTCACATCCTGTAACTTCAGGGGTTCCTCAAGGTTCAATCCTTGGCCCTATACTCTTTTTAATTTACATTAACGATCTTCCAGATATTCTCACATCTAAGGTGGCATTATTCGCCGACGACACTACCATTTACTCTTGTCATGATAAGAAGCCTACACTCTCTGATTGCTTGGAGGGGGTATCTGAGCTTGAAAAGGATCTCACTTCTGCTACAGCATGGGGCTCACAGTGGCTGGTGAACTTTAATTCAGATAAAACTCAATTTTATTCGGCCAATCGTTATCGTAATAATTTAGATCTTCCTATATTTATGAATGGTAATGTACTAGATGAGTCATCTACCATTCATCTTCTAGGATCAACTCTTACTTCTGATCTTTCTTTTAAACCGTATATCAAATCCATTGCAAAATTAGCATCTGCTAAGGTTGCATCTCTTTATCGAGCTCGACACTTTCTTACTCCAGATTCTATTCTCTATCTCTATAAATCTCAAATCCGTCCCTGTATGGAATACTGTTGCCACATCTGGGGCGGATCTTCTAATGATGCTCTTTCTTTTTTAGACAAGGTGCAAAAACGAATTGTAAACATAGTTGGACCTGCTCTGGCAGCCAATCTCCAACCTTTGTCACATCGTCGTAATGTTGCTTCTCTTTCTCTTTTCTACAAATACTATAATAGGCACTGCTCTAAAGAGCTAGCGTCCCTTGTGCCATCTACTAAAATTCATTCTCGTGTTACTCGCCATTCAATTAAGTCTCATCCTTTTTCTGTGACTGTTCCTAAGTGCTTCAAAAACTCTTATTCTTCTAGTTTTTTTCCTCGAACATCAGTTCTTTGGAATTCGCTTCCTTCATCTTGCTTTCCTGTTTCATATAATTTGCAATCTTTTAAGTCATCAGTCAATCGTTATCTTGCTCTACAGATTTAGTCTTTTCTCTTCCAGTAACTCCCAACTCTTATAGTGGTTGCTTGCAGCCTTGTTGGAAGTGAAGATGTTAAAAAAAAAAAAAAAAAAAAAAAAAAAAAAAAAATGGATGAGGCTTAATTGAATGACAAGTAACACGAGAATAAATTTTAGTAGATGGCACAAGAGACGCTAGCTCTTTCGAGTAGTGCCCATTATAGTATTTGTAGAAAAGAGAAAGAGAAGCAACATTACGACAATGTGACAGAGGTTGAAGGTTGGCTGCAAGAGCAGGTCCAACTAAGTTTACAATGCGTTTTTGCACCTTGTCTAAAAGAGAAAGAGCATCATTAGAAGATCCGCTTCAGATATGGCAACAGTATTCCATACAAGGCTGGATTTGAGATTTATAGAGATAGAGAATAGAATCCAGAGTAAGAAAGTGACGAGCTCAATAAAGAGAAGCAACTTTAGCAGATGCTAATTTTGCAACGGATTTAATATAAGGTTTCCAAGAAAGATCAGAAGTAAAAGTTAATCCTAGAAGATGAAGGGTAGATGACTCATCGAGTACATTACCGTTCATAAATATAGAAAGGTCTAAACTATTGCGATAACGATTGGCGGAAAAAAGCCACCTTAGATGTGAGAATATCTGGAAGATCGTTAATGTAAATTAAAAAGACTATAGGGCCAAGGATTGAACCTTGGGGAACCTCTGAGGTTACAGAATAAGAAGAAGAGTGCTGTCCATCAAGGACAACTTTTATACTACGATTGGAAAGAAAGGACTCAATAATCTTAAAGATGTTTCCAGATACACCGTAAGTTGATAGCTTATGGAGAAGACCAGCATGCCAATCTTTATCAAATGCTTTAGAAATGTCAAGAGCCTTAACCTCTCCACCTTTATCTAATGCACGATAAAACCTATCAATTATTACTGTTAGCAAATCAGCTGTAGAACGAGAAGATCGAAATCCATATTGATGATCAGAAAGTAAGTTATTTGATTCAAGATGAGAGATTAAGTGTTTGTTGATTAAAGATTCAAAAACCTTGCTTATGACAGGAAGAAGACTAATGGGACGGTAGTTAGATGAATCAGATCGCTCTCCGGAATTTTTGAAAATAGGGATAACAGATGCTGCTTTCCAGCATGATGGAAAACAGGACTCTGATAAGCACTTGTTAAATAGTTTTGAAAGTATGGATGAAAGCTCCGGAGAACACTTCTGCAAGACTACAACAGGAATGTTGTCAGGACCACAAGCTGTTGAAGAGTCTAAGCAGGAAATAACTTTTGATACAGAAGCTGAAGTGATGCGAATGTCAAGCAAGGGATCAACCTGTTTGACGGCTATGTCAGGTAGAACGCAACTAGTGGAATCGAGAGATGATATTGATGAAAAGTTCTTAGCAAACAATTCAGCTTTGTCTTTAGGTGAGGTTACAAAGTCTGAACCATACATAAGAGGCGGAATTACAGACTTGCCCTTATTATTGATACTATTAAAGATTTTCCAGAAGTTACGATTGCCTAATTTTTGTGATGAAATACAAGTTTTAATGACCTGAGAATAGCGGGTTTTGGCATTAGACAAAACCATTTAAATATATACAAAAAGGTATACAAAAACTCTGCAGCAATGTTTAAGACATAAAATAAAAATTAACCTAAAATATAAAATAAACTAACAAATAAAAAATTAAATACCTGAACGCCATAATCGTCCTTTAAATTTTGACTATATCTGTTAAAACTTGTATTTGAAATAGATGACCTATCAGAACTTACTTTTTTTGCCAGTGCATTAGCTGTGTTCTGCAAATTATTTTGACTTGAGCTTAGAGACTTGGTTAACACTGAGTTTTGAGGTGATAATGTATTGTGAGGTTTATTGTTGTTTAGGGGAACAGGTTTACTTTCTAAAGAATCATTTACTGACACAGAATTTCTATTTCTTAACCCATTATCTTTTGCTGCTGGTAAACGACCATTATCTAAATTATTTGGAGAAATTGTGGAAGTACTTTGAAGCCTGGTTGTTACATTTGCTCCAACTTTATTGATTGAAATACCAGGAACACTAGGAGTATATTTATTAGTAACAGAAAATTTTTGTTCTTTTTCTTCAACATCATTTTTTTTTTTAATATATGAAGTTCCAAACTCTGGTAAGGCCCGTGATTCCTAAAATATGTACATAATGTATATATAAAATAATCTAATAAAGAATAGCATTGAAGTATAAAAAAACATATTAACATAAATTTATTATTTATGTAATCCTTTGAATGAAAATTTGTTTTTAAATTATAATTTTAAATTATTATAGTAGGGGAAAGCAGGTAGGATTCGTACACTTTTTATACTAAGTCGTATAAAAGCAAAAAAAGTTGCTATTTTAAAATAATTTTAATGCTGCTGAGTAACCTAAATATATGGCTTTAATAATATTGTAGTTTAGTTTTGAAAAAAGCTAACAAGACAGTACTATGTCTTTTGGAAAAAAATGGAGAATGTACGAATGCACCCCAAACGCAGGGTAGCTTCATTCAGTTTTTTGTTCGGCTCGGTTCGGTTCGGCTTTATTACATTACTTTATTAAGTTAAAAATGTATTAACTGAAAATAAACATTTATTAAGGTTAAAACTGAAACAAATTAAATATTAAACATAATAAAAATAAAATTATATATATCAATATTTTCTCATGACTCTTAATTGGTTAATTTGCATCATAACACATCACTAATTAAGTTGATTGATCAATAATAATATTAATTAATAATTATTTAGTTAACCTATATATATATCAAAAATTCTCTAATAAATTATATCAAATATTATATAAAAATACTTTTAATCAAAGGGTCCTATTAAAAATCAACACACATGAAATGATTTTGATACAGAAAAACAACTGATGCTATTCATCTATATTATATAGATATATAACATCTGTTGTTGTCATCAGAAATGAAATCAGCAGACTCAAAAATATATAGTATATATTGTATATGGTATATATTGTTAAAGTCTGCTGATTTCATTTTAGAACCATTTTTAAAGGTAAAACATATTTTTTTTGAAATTATCTTAGCATTATTGTTATCAAATTATTGTTATCAAATATTACATAAAAATAAATCTTATTAATTGAAGAGCCCTGTGAAAAATTGACACATGCCACCTGTGAAATGATTTTGACACAAAAAGACTTTATATCAGCTGTCTTTTTGCTATGCTATACAATATGTTATATTTAATTTTATTCACGACTGACATCAATCAAATTTCTTTAATTCCTTTTTTCTGATATAACACGCAACAATGCATGTTGATTTATACAACATTAACTATTAAATTTTAGAAAAAGACTTAAACTTAAAAATTAATTTTTAAGTTTAAACTTGAAAATTAATTACGTCTAAATATGTAAGATACAATTTAGTATAAGTTAATAAGTATCAATGCAAATAAATATTATTTTGGACATGATATTTTTAAAAAATGCATGGTCATTTTTAAAAAATGCATGCTTTTAAAACTCAGGCTTTAACATTGATTGGAAAAAATAGACAGCAATTATTGTCACCAAGAAACGGCTACGTTTTACCTGAGAAGTAAATTTATCAAGTGCATTTTTTATTCCTAGTACAGCACTTTGGCGATTGCTTGGAGACCAAGTTGCGGTTCTTCTAAGACCACTTGAAGAAGGAAATGACTTAGAAGGTGATTCCGTGCTTACAGTTACATTATCAGAAACCTTTTCTATAGTATTTACATTAGGTGGTATATTTACTGAGGACTCGTTTCCAGAACTTAATTGTTGCGCTCTTTTTGCTCTTCTAGCCGCCCGATCAGCTGCAGTTCTCAAAACAGTCTCGTTGTCTTCAGCGCGTCTCCTGAAGGATTCTTCATTAACGATTTCTTGAGTTTTAACTACGCAATTGTTATTGTTTGAGTCTGCTGAGTTCATTTCAGAAGCATTTTTTATGGTAAAATTTATTTTTTTGAATTTATTTTGGTTGTTTTCCATCTTGATATTTACTGAAGATAATGAATTTTCAAACATACTTTTGTGTAGATTTGTTTTAAATAGTTTTTGTCTATATCGAATGGAAAGTTTTACTAAGACAAGAAAAATAAAGTAAAATCTCTTTGATCATATTTGTGTAATATAAATGCAATGAACTTGATGAATACAAACACAATTTAATGAAAACAAGCAATTGTATGAATTCAAAAATAAGTCTTTTAATTTAATCCGTTGATAAAACACTTTTAACTAAAACTCTACTTGAATGCAAATTTAATCTCTTTTTACAAAATCAATAAAACACACTAAGTAAGAAATAATAGCAGAGCAAAGACAACGTTTCCATGGCAAAATATTATTTTGCGTTTTTACTTTTTGATATGCTTTAAAATTAGTACTTATAAATTAATTATATATATATTTTTAAAACTCTACAATAATATTACTCTACTATAGTAATAAGAAAACACACACAATTTAAAAAACAAATTTAAAATATAAAACTTAAAAGTTATGTTTTGCGTTAAAATAAATAAATTATTATAACACATTACATTTCATTAGCAGATCAGATTTCAAAGGGCTAAGCTTTCCTATTTTAGCTTTGTTTACATTAAAAACCTACTTAAGCAAAGGTATCTTATTTTCAACAAAAGTAGAAGAACAAGCATTAATTACACTCATCTCTTTTTACGTGCAAGAAATGATTTCTTATTAAAAACTCCAAAGTTTTTAATAAGAAATTCCAATACTACTAATTGTTTAGTATAAAATTTCATACTAGCTGAGAATAACCTTATTATTTTTAACGTGAGAAGGATTTTTAACCGCCTCTACAGAGCCTCTTACTCCTCTAGTAAGCTCCCACGTTCTCCTTATAATTATCGAGATGAGCGTCAAGGATGTAGAATTTAAGTGACATTCAATATAACATTTAGGAGAAATTATTTATGAGTATCCATACCAACTTCACATAATATTCAGCCTTGTTTACCCAGGTCAAGTTACCCAAGTCGTAAACAAAATTTTTAATAAAACATATTGTATGAACGATTAAATGCATGTTTAAAATTAGCTTTTTTTTTATGGAGAACATCAAATTCTAACTTAATTTATTAATAATTGTGATTTAGTTATTGTAAAATATCATTTTGTAAAACGGTTTGTAAAAAATATTATATTGATTTTGTATGAATATTTTAAATCAACGTCTGATCATAGGGCTGTCCACATAGTCCCGAAAATCCAACAAAACTGTTACAAGCTGCGCACTCCATCATGAAGATACCAGTTTTAACTTAAGCCTCAGACAGCTTTGGAAAAAGGTCTTAAAGATACTTTAAAAGTGCTAACCTTTTTTTTAAGAGCAGTGACAAATTGCATAATGATGTGATCACTTCACTTAATGTAAAGTGATCACATAAACGCTTTCTAAAATTCTATCAAAGGCTTCAACTTTACATTTCTTTTTCACACAGATAACTTGGTGTGGCTAGGCTGCATGTTTCCGTTAAAAAGCAACACGGGTTTGATGCTCTAAAATAAGCCTTCTATAAATAGACGTCGTTCACTTGGGTTACTTACTATATCAATAGTCTCAAAAAGACCGGCCACGTCGTTTCAGAAATACGATCGAATAAAACATCTTTCTGACGAATAAAACTCTTTCTGACGAATGAAAATCTTTCTGACGAATGAAAATCTTTCTGGCGAATAAACATCTTTCTGGCAAATAAACATCTTTCTGACAAATAGAACATCTTTCTGACGAATGAAACTCTTTCTGACGAATGAAAATCTTTCTGGCGAATAAACATCTTTCTGACAAATGAAAATCTTTCTGACGAATGAAAATCTTTCTGACGAATGAAACATCTTTCTGACGAATGAAACATCTTTCTGACTAAAGAAGATGGAAAATGTTTGGTGATTCTCTGATATGTGACTTGCACTTTTTTATCTTTTTACAGTTTTTAAAAAAATTATTTTTAACTCTTTTAAAAACTTTTTTATTTTTTGAAATAATCTAATCAAGTTAAAATTTTATGATGATATTTGCAAGTTTAACAAAATCTTTTGCTACGCTCTAAATCTAGAATCTTAATGATTGAAGTTTTTAAATCTAATAACGGTTTAAAGAGTTTACATCTTTTTTTTTTAAACTTCCCGTATAAATTTTGCAGTTATGAAAAAATAGCGCTTCCAGCCATAGTCTTTATACATAAATACATAAAAAATATTTTATATAAAACTATTTTGTTATGAAACTTTTGATGTCGGGTTCATTTTCTCAAGACTGAGACTTGTGGGACTCTCTTTTAAGTTGCTGATGACACTTTCTTTTTTTCAATTTTCTAACCAGTCACTCCTAACCAAGCACTCAAGGATTGCATAGCAATTGCCACATACAATTTTTAGACCCCAAAAAATGGGTTACTAGCAGGGGCCCAGGGCCGCACCGACGGAGGGGGGGGGTGATTTGCAATATTCTGTCGGTTTTTGACGGAAAACTCAAAAATTTTGGTTTCTGTCGGTTAAAACTGAAAATTGGTTTCTAAAAAAAAAACAAAAAAAAAACAACAACAATTATTATAATTTTTTGTTACTTGACAAGTTCTCTTAGTCTGAACGGTAGAGAAAAAAAATTTCATTTTATAGACTTATATATCACCTTAGTGACATACTAAATAATCTTAAAATTATAAATAATCATAAATTAAAACTTATTTTTTAAAGATTCCTTCTGCTCGGACACATCAAGATTTTCTTATTAATTAATTCAATCAAATAATTTTTCTGAGAAGTTTTCGAACAGGTTTCTGTCGTTTTTTTTACCGATATCATTTTTTCATTAGTTGAAATTTTAATTTTTCAAGGAATTTTTTTTAATTGCATTTGTTTACATCAATTTCATAAAATATGACTGTTTCGGGTTGATACCTGATTGCTTTGAGTCCTTAAATCGCAAAGTCATGTTTTTTTTATTATTATTATTATTATTATTAATGATGTTTTTTAATATACATTTTTTAAGCACAACTTTTGCTTATAATAATTTTCACAATAATTTTGTGCTCTTACTATTTGTTTATTTATCTTTTTACTTTTCTACTCTTTTTTTACACATATTTATTTATCTTAATATTATACATAATGTAAATCCATATGTAATATTAAAAACTTAGTTAGGTTTTTTTATCACATTTTTTTATCACCTTTTTATTCAACAAAAGTTATATCTTATTTATAATACGGCATTTAATGTTTTTAATAGTGTTTTTCTGACAGAGATTTCCGAATTCAACAAGAAGCTTAATAGAACTTAATAAAATTTAGAAAATAATGCCTAATATAATTTAGAAAATAATAGTAATAAACTTTTATTATATTCTTTTATTATATAGCATAGCAATAAAATAGCAAAATTTATTAAAAATTTTTTATTTGGAGTATATTTGTTAAAGCACAATAAAAAGAAATAAAACTGTTATTTATGTCGTGTTTTTGCTAAATATCGCTACGTTTTATTTTGTGGGGATAGAATAGCAAAGCTATCAACGTTTTATTAAATTAACAGCGTTTGAACAGTTGCTACGTGTACTTGTGTTATATTTAAAAAAAAATAACAGCAAACATTATTAATAAATCGTAAAAAGCTTTCTGATGCCCAAAATCAGACATTGACTTTCAAAAAGTAAAAGGAAGTGAAAACAAATACTCAAAGATTTAGGCTGGTTTTACAATATTACTAATTAAAATATTGATTCAATGCAAGTTAGTTGAATTATATAGATCTATATATATATTTTACTTTTTATGCAATTTATGAATACTAAATCGAACTAAATCCAGTTTTTTTAAGTCGGCAGAATTGAACAAATGTGACCAGGACAAAAAATCATCAAATGATGATAAGGATGATGCGAAGATGTCAAAGATCTACAATCAGTTGAAAAAAAAAAAAAACTTGGAATTATGCTCTTGCTTCAGTTGAAAATTAACTGATAAAAATTGATGTTTTGAAGTTTTTCGATTTTATACAAACATTTCAGATAACAGAGTTAAAAATGACTCAGCACTCTGACCATTGATTCTTGAGAAATATAAGTTATAATCAAGAAAAATAAATCAACTTTTCCTGATGAATTTTCACGATACGCCATCAAAAACAAAGCCTTCCAAAAATTAATCCTTTTCATTGTATTACCCAATGGAAAAACTGTTCAAATAGATTATTTGGCATGGAGCCCAGCATGCAGGATTGAGCATTGTGCAAGTGAAAAAAAATCGGAAAATGATCTGATATGTCTGTTTTAAAAATTCCTGTTTTATGAGATGCATCTAGAAATGAGTTTGTTAGTATATTATCTATAGCAGTAATTGAAGTTGAAGTGGCTCGTGTGGGTTTATTTATTAAAGGGAGTATACCGTACTGAAACAAATTATCAAAGAAGGTGTTGGCGTGTTCTTTGTATTTCAAACAATCTATGTTCAAGTTTTTTTTTCACTGTTGGTTTTAATAAAAATTTGATTCAAATAGTTAGAAAATTTAATAAAATTGCAATCAGGTGGTGGTAGCCATCAGGTGGTCTGTAGCAAGTAGTTACTAGAATCTTTTGCTTTTTGTGAATAATTATTTTAATTTTCAGAGCCTCACAGTCTGCTCAGAAAATGAAAGGTCATGTATTTGTTTTTTGTTTTTTATGTATTTTGGTGCTCCCAGAAGTCCTTACGGTCTTATCATAGAGCACCGCGGGAGAGCATTTAACGGGGAGTTCACGCCTCCTTCCGTACCAATGTCGCTTGTTGGGCTAGAGCTGGTGTCGAACTCCGGACCTTTGGGTTCTGAGCCAGAACTCTAACCACTGCGCCACGGCTGCTTTTTCTTTCAATAGAAATTATTTTGTAGTTAGAAACTTCTTATGTTTATGTGTTTGACCGAAAAATCTTGATTACATGATTTAAATTGGGTTTTAAAAGTATCAATATCAAAATATTCTGTATCACAACATTTTTTGTTAAATATTTTTTTATCCGCATGATAAAAGTTTTGAGCATATTTTTAGCATTTAGTATAATTTGAGATCAAATGATTTTTTTTTTTTAAGAACGCTATTCTTCGTTGAGGAGAGAATCGGAGAAAGAAATTTTCAAGTTTAACTTTGAGTTAATTTGCAACGTTTTGGCGAAAGTGATTATTGGGTACATAAATTGAGAGGCC